TTAAGAGATGACTATTTTTATAATTAATAATTAATGTAAATAAATGAGATAATTGTGATCAATTAAAGCAATTTGTTGTAGGCTAAATGTAAGATTTGTTGTTAATAAAAGCAATTTTTTGTCGGTTAAAGCTTATCAAAACTTTAAAATAGACTAGATGATGCTTATGTAAGTGAATGTATTCATGTTGGGCATTGAAGTTTTGGAGAAATCGATTTGTGTGAGACAAATTTTATATAAAAAATGGCCGTTTTGATATTTGACGAAATTTTTTATTATGCTGAAAAGATAATGTAATTTTTTCTTCTCTCTATTTTTGTTTTTTAATTCTTTTAGTAATATCCATCTAAATGATGAACATAAACTACTTATAAGTTGATGAGTATTGTAGGGTTCTCTCTCTCTCTCAATTAGTTAAGTTAGGTTCGCATTTCAATTTAATTTCTAATATCATGGATTTAATTGTATAAAATTTCTATTTTAGATTTATCTATTACTACGTATCATTTTAATTGTATATATACATCCGTTTGGGACATCATATGCACATGGCAGCTCGACAGTGTTATGGTTTCATCATATTCATGCAAATATGCATTATTTTTTTTATTCATATTTATGAATTTGTAGAGCCATCTCTAGTTGGAAATTTGTACGTCAAATTTCTTTCTACCACCGTGACTCATCTTTGGCTTGACGATTTATGTTTTTAATATTTCTAATTTTATGGTTTTTATTTAGTTGTTTTATTATTTAATAAACTATGATTTAATAATTACTTTTAGGGAAGACGATGGGACATTAGCATAGGTGTAATTATTTTGAACTTTGGCAATTAGTCTATTTTTTGAAACATGGACAACAGTCACTTTGTATTGGTCTTTGACTGATTTTTATATTAAATAAAATCTTTTGAGTATTTTTTTTTTTCATATTTACCCAATTTTTGGTATTATGATCTTGTTTGAGTCCCTTTTTTTAAGAATGTATTTTTTCAAAACCCATTTTCAATCATATATTCTCATATAAAATAATTATACATGTATTTAAAAAAAAAAAATCATTACTTTGTAACCACACATTTTTTAAAAAATCATTATTTCATAATACATTTTACCCAAA